TATTCTGATATTTGTATTAGACAAACAAAGAGGAGATCGATCAAATATAATTTATATTTTATAGTAATACTATAATGATAATACATACTGTATCGTATAGTAATGAAACGTAAAATGGCATTTAACTGTCCAGGTATTTTGCTGGTGAGAGATTGTAGTTGCTTTAGCGTGTAGAAGCTAGTAAGCCTATTTGATTTGTTTTAGATAGGCACAACATGTTTCATATGCAGATCTTATTTTCCTGTTCCATGTTAAAATAAACCATTTTCAGTGGTACCGCTGAGAAAGAGTAATTTGTTTGGTCATGGAAAATGAGGTAAAGGTCATGGAGAAGTCATGGAAAGTCATTGGTGACAAAGTGTATGAACCCTGACTTGTTTACTTACAGTTATTATCATATTTATGTAATCAGTTTCAAAAAAGTACTTTACATTCAGTTTTGAGTACTACACAAGCAACATTTTCAATACATAGTGGGGTTCATACGGCTACATGTTTTTAAAAGGTAATACAAATATTTAGGTTAACCTTGATTTGTATTTGTACTGTGTTAAATACCTAGTTAAAATAACTTAATAAGTACTGTTTAACTAAACAGTTAAAAATACGTTTGTGTCACTTGAAATGACTAGTAAATAGTACTCAATACGTTTTACTTTAACTTAAAAACATTTACACAAGTAGCTTTGATGTAAAACTGTCGATGTCATCAGTTGAAGTTGTATTAACTGGTCAGGTTTTAGTGCTGAAGGTACCTTTGTTTTGGGGTGAAGGAACAGCACCCCGTCCTGGCTGATGCTGACCATGCAGGGCGAGGGACAGCCTTGCTGGCTCACCTTCTGGGCCAGGAAGGTGTTAGAGCCAAACAGAGGCATGGCGCTCAGAAACTCTGCAAGACAACCACAATTATTATGAGAGGAGGGGAGAGGAGAGATGGAGAGGAGGGGAGAGGAGATGCTACCCACCAATAAATTGTATTTTGGCGTTTTGAGGGCTGAGGGAGTGCATGGCAGCGATATGGCCCTCACAGAAGGTCTGGATCTCCGCAGCTTTGATGCTCAGGCCATCCAGGGAGGGAAGGTACTCCTTCATCTCCACTCTTGAAGAGAAAAACAACCAGAAACGTTCAGTATAAAAACAACTTTAGTCAAGTTAGGTGTTGAGTGATAACAACATAGATACTAAAAGAATGCACATGTCACCAGAAGAAAGCAGTATTACTGGGGAGATGTTAGCGCACTGGGAGACACTGGCTGACCAATGCTGCCAAGTATAATGGAATGCTTTGTACTTCATATGAATTCACTTTTGGACTTCCAAAAAGTTGGGAAACTTTAAGTACAGAAATGAAGAAGAATGAAGTGTTTAGTGTATTATTTATCTAATTGATGTGTCTTTAAATAAGAGCCATTGGTTACAGCTTAGCATTGTGTTGTAACTTGGTTTTGATTGTGGTACTGTTGACTCTGCTTACAAAATAAAATATTAAAAGTGTGTTATACTGACTTTAAACTCAATATACATAAATGCAACATTACCTCTGCGGTAAAATACACATGTATGGATTATAGGGCACATAATGTTACCTGGTAAAGGTACGATAGAACTTGATGTAAAGTTAGAGAAAGAGGAGAAAACAATATGGGAACTGAATTTATACTGCTGATCATTTAAGAGGTACATGTTCTACTATAACATGGTACAAAATGAACAATAGTCTGACATTTGGGAGGAGATTTAAGAAAGGTCAATCGAAGAAAGAAGTGTGTACAGCGTACGTGAGAGTGACTGTCCACCCAGCTGAGGCTCTGTTTGGTGCAGCTGTGTTCTGCTACACTTTGGCATAACGTCTGTTCTGTTGGATTGTAATTGTCTGGATAATGGTTAAAAATGACGTGTTGAATTTGAAAGTTCAAACATGAGCTATAGCTATATGGTGGAATTACTCTTGATATTTGACTTTCTCCTGACTACTGCTATCTGTGTTGTATTATTTTCGGTTGGGCTCTCCAAAATGAATCAATACCTAAACTGATGAGGAATAGTGTGTCAGTGTGTGACTCACAGTGAGGGCTCACCCTGCAGACCCTGGGCCAGGTGCTGCAGAGCGGACAGCTGAGCCAGCTGCTGCACCGAGGAGGAGCCGTCTGCAGGGGCCAGTAGGAGGTGCCCACTCAGGTAGTCAGCCAGGAGCTACACACACACACACACACACACACACACACACACACACACACACACACACACACACACACACACACACACACACACACACACACACACACACACACACACACACACACACACACACACACACACACACACACACACACACACACACACACACACACACACACACACACACACACATTAAAATGACACAAGATAGATTCTGGACCAGTGTTCTGCTGCTCCTGTCTGTTCTCACCTGCTGGTAGTGGAAGTCCACATAGAGGTCACTGCTGAAGGTCAGAGGGCTCCTCCACATCATTCTCCTCAGGGACAGGAAGATGGAGCCGTCATCCAGCAGGAAGTCGAACAGATACTCTTCAGCATGGAGGGGACGCACCATCCCATCTGACAGAGGACCAGCAGATAATCTGTCACTTTGACCCTTTCACACACACATGCCATTCTCTGCCTTTAGAGGTCTCTCAATAATAATGAAAAGGTGGACGGAGTTTGGTGTCATGAAGCAGCGTAGGATCATGGGAGTTCTGCTCCTGGTTACGATTTCCTCAGTGTTCATGGTTTAAGTTTTTTTTTACCGTCAATAGTGAATAAGGTTTGACATTATAAATCAAAGTTGTTTCTCTGATGACTTCAGTTTCAGACGTCCTATCATTACAATTCTTCATCAGGTAAACATATAGGTTTAAAAAGCACCCAGATCTAAAAAGTAAAAATATGTCTTAAAAGCGGATATAAAGACAGTAAATGACTTCTGTTTCTGTTAGTCAACGAATATGATGTCATCACAGGAAACATCATCTTCATTCAAATTACACATTTCTCTGTGTATGTGCACAACACAAAACTAATATATACTGTATATATATATAAAACACAGAACTAGACACTTTTTTTTAGACATTTGAATGCTGAAAAACTAAACATGCTGCCTTTAACTTGCATCTTTATAAGAGGTTCCCTCAATGAATAATGTCCATATCTCTGGAGTGACACTTTGGCTTTATTCTCAGGGTTTGAAGATAAATTAAATATCCACTGTATTTTTAAAAGTGTTGATATTGTGTTCTGTGTATTTTTATTAAGAGTAGGGGTGTACTGTTTTCTGGGGATAAATGGTTTTAGTTCTTAATGTATGTATTACTTTGGCGTGAAAACATTTGAAAACAAAGTCATCAGTTGGCCTTGGTGTGTCTCCTGACAGTCATCCCTCTTCAGTCCTTCCTGAGACAGCAGAGTGTCTTACCTTGGCGTCGGTTGGCGAGGATGGAGAACTCTTTGATTTCCGTCAGGTTTAAGACTCCCATCTCTTTACAGAAGTCTGTGACTGCTTCTCCTGCCAACTACAGGAAGATACAACATACCACCAGGAGGTATTAATAAATAAAAGAAGACTCTGGTTTGGTTCATACATAAGTAGGCGTATATAAATCTTACACTGAAGCTGCGTATCTTGATGGGGAATTCCACTTCTCCTGGCAGCTGGGTGGGAACACGTCGAGAAGTTTTCCCAGCCTGAAGAAAAACAGGCTAAATGTAAACGCCTTGATAATGATGGGATATAACAGTTTATTAGATTTTGATTTGCTTCAGTGTGTAGGTAACTTGCCAGAATGGCGTCCATCTCCACATGTGACGGGATGTTACGGCGACCGCCAAAAGTGAGAGAGCGCTGCATGTTCTCCTGACACACACACGCCAGCTCTGAGGACACGGGGTGTTAGGAAGAGCCATTCCATTTATATATACATTGTAATATACATGTTATATATTGTAGTATAATGTGCACATTTTACTTTAATGTCTTCTGTTAATATAAATATTTACTATATATAATTTTAACTTTTATTGAACATTTTGCTTCACATTCTTATGTTTATATAAAACATTGAATTTTATTCATTTTATCTTTGTATTGTACATTCTTTGTAAGACTTCTTGTGTTTATATTCATTTATTATCCTGTTTCATTTCATTTTATTTTTATTGGACATTTTTACTTTAACTTCATATTTTTTTATAAATATCTTTATTTGCTTTAATTTAAAAAAAGGTGTTGCACATTCTTACTGTAACTTCATATGTCTGTATAAATACTTGTATTATTTTAGTATACTTAGTATAGTATTTTGTTTTAATCTTTTTATTTGTTTAATTCTAAATCGAGCAGCTTGCACAAAACCCAAATTCCCCCGCGGTAAATAAAGTATTCTGATTCTGATTCTGATTTTGAATCAGCTGGTTATATGTAGCATTTTATATCATATCATATTTTGATATTATAATAACTGAAAGATCAGCACTTAGTGATATCCGTCTGCATGCTTTGTGTTTCTTCTACCTTGGTATGGGTGCTGGTAGTCCTGGGAGATATCTTGCAGGTGGCGTGTGACAAACGGCTGCAGAGTGTCGGAGCAGGGGAAGAAGCCCGTCATCAGGTTGAGCAGCCGCCAGCCCAGCGTACAGAAAGACCTGGAGACAGACAACAAGGCAATTGAAATCAAGCTGATTATAAAAAATGTGATTTTTGCACACTCAATTCAGGGCCTTAAGATAAGTGATCAGGAAAGCTGTAAGGTTGAGATTTTAAAGTACAGTATACAGTAGATGGGAAGTTGGCATTGTTGGCATTGACATTGCAGAATGCTAAGAGTAAATTACAGACGGTTCAGCCCATCTTTGAACTGAAAACAGTAAAAATGACAGCTCAAAAACCAGAAGAATTAGCTTAAAGATGTTCAGAAAAGCTCTGTAGAAGCTCCTTGGCTTCTTCAGGTCCAGGGTTTCACATCCAGGGTTTGAATCTTTTGAAACGCGTTCATACACAGAAAATGTTACCAAACACTTCAATAAATGACACTCACTTGGCTGGGTTTTGGGTGGTTTGCTTGATGACCTGGCAGTAGATTTCATCTCTCAGCATCTCCTTCTCCTTCCCTAACTGAACAGAAACTCTTCTTTAAATATCATCAAGCTTATGGAACTCGAAGACACAGATTAACACGGGGGGGGGGGCCCTCACCAGAAGGATGTGGATCAGACAGCCTGACTGCGTGTTATCCTTCTTGAACGGCATCTCTCCCATGAACTGCATTAGGTCTGGAGGACAGGGGAATGCAGATAGATGAAGAGAGTGAGAACAGTGGTCTCAGTGTGTATGAATGTTTGGATGGTACGTGTGGATGCACTCACTCATGAAGCACTGGACTGATAACTCATTGAGCTCAGGATCATTGTAGAGGATGAGGGACTCCTGGATGGGAACCTGGATGAATAAAAGCAAACACATATAGTTGACTTGTTCAGGAACTCTCAGTTACATTAAAATAATCAGCATTAACAGTTAGCTGAAAGCAAAGGCATGTGTATATATCAGAACAATACAATTCAGAGATCCGCTCAACTCATGATTCTAAATATCCAAGCAAGATTTGAAAGATTGGCTTGTTGGCAGGTTTGCTGATGCATTTAGCATTTAGATGTCAGTGAAAACCTTTATATACAACTTATTTCTCATGTATTCTGATTTGAAGGGGGTATCAATATATTTTCTGGTCTAAGAATTACATTTGATTTTGTTTAGTTATGTTCAACGTGACATTCTGCTATTGAACCAAATTCCTAATTACACGTTTCCCATACCTTTATGTCAGCTTTACAATAAAGTAAAAATACAAAAAGAACATTTGTGACATAACATATAAGCTCAATGCTGTCATTTTGGAGTTCAAAAAGCTAAGCTACATCAATACAGAAGGCCTGGAATGAATCAGAACCAGGATGTGTTCTGGAAAGTAAGGCTGATTGCATATTAGATGATATGGTCAAACAAAAATGTATTTAAAAATAGTAATTCAATATGTGTATAAAACATAGGTAGAGGACTATACACAATTCAACAATAAGGGTCTGTACTTGGTTACAATCAATATTTTATGAAAACAATGTAGCGATAAGCCAACAGTTTTTCAGCCTAAAACGTTACTGTTCTGGCTCATTCTTAGCACTTTCGGCATCATTTTCATCCATAGCAGGCATCTATTTCAGCGTCCTGAGTGGGCGCTTCACCCGGAGGTGGTGAAGCAGGTCTGGGTCCAGTTCGGGAGAGCAGAGGTGGACCTGTTTGCCAGCCGGCGCAACAGCCACTGTGCCCTGTGGTTCTCCATGGCTCAGGGCAACGACCCGCCCTTGGGGGTGGACGTGTTCACGAGCCATGGCCGAGGAAGCTGCTATACGCCTTTCCACCGCTGCATCTCATTCTCCCTCTCCTGGGGAGAGTGAGGCGAGAACGTCTGGCAGTAATCCTAGTGGCTCCGGATCGCGTCGGGGCACCGTGGTACTCAGAGATGACACAGATGAAGGTGGGCCAGCCCTGGGCAATCCACCAGTTCTGGGGGGCGATGTCTCAAGAGGCAGGTGCAGGTCGGGCGTTACCCACTCTGGGCCGTCCTCTCTAGGCTTGGCTCCTGAGATAAGAGGGACAGGCTGAGACAGGGTGGATTGTCTGACAGCGTTATTCAGTCTATCCAGGCAGCTAGAGCAGGATCCACCACAGCCTGTTACAGGCCGAAGTGGCTGGGATTCCAGTGATGGTGTGAGGAGCGGAAAATAGAGCCCCTATCTTCTGAGTTGGGCTCTATTTTGTCCTTTTTACAGTTACTTGAGGACAGAGGGCTTGCTCATTCCACAGTGAAGGTGTATGCAGCAGCCATCTCGTCTTGCCATGAGGGATTAGACGGCAGGTCAGCCTTTAATCAGCCACTGATGTCACGGTTTTTACAGGGGGTCAGGAGGCTTCGCCCTGTAGTGCACACCTCCCCCAGCAGTGGGACCTGCCGTTGATGCTCGAGGCTCTGGTCACAGAACCATTTGAGCCTCTGGAGCTCTCTTCCCTGAAAGCACTGTCGTGGAAAACAGCATTGCTACTTGCCTTTATGTCAGGCAAGAGAGTGTCCCAGTTAACCTCTCTGTCGGTGCACCCGAGCTGTTTACTGATTCGGGGTGACAGGAGCGGCGCAACACTCAGACCAAACCCCTCCTTTGTGCCCAAAAGCCTAAGGAGTACGTTCAGGTCGAGGGCTATTCAGTTAGGGGGCTTTAGTCTTCCACCCCATAGTGGGGCCAGCCTTTAGACGCACTGAACAGCTGTTTGTGTGCTTTGGGGGCGGGGTGACCGGGAAAGCTCTGTCCAAGAAACGCCTGGCAGGCTGGCTCTGCGAAGGCATTGCACATGTCTACGGACAGGCNTGTTTACTTGTCAAGGTTCTTACAGTCATTAAAAACCTGGAAAAGTCATGGAAATTCAAAATGCAAATTCCAGGCCATGGAAAAGTTATGGAAAACAATTATTGTTTTCCATAACTTTTCCATGGCCTGGAATTTGCATTTTGAATTTCCATGACTTTTCCAGGTTTTTAATGACTGTAAGAACCTTGACAAGTAAACATTTTGAGTAAATACAAAAGAAAACCTTTAACACAGACAATTTATATACAAGTCACTGTTTTATTAAGTAACCATAAACTATTTACCAAACAAGAATATGTATTGTTTGACAAATAGTTCACTTTTAAAAACGAAAACCCTTAAAAACAGGCCTTGAGAAATTCCCAGAGCCACATTTTGAACCATCACTTGCATGAGTCCAACACAATGTGACCTGGAACAGTTGCTGTTCAGTTTACCACATGGACCATAAAGAACAGGAACATATAGAAATATAAACCAACGTATGGGAACATGTTGTCCATACTATTTACACATCTACAAACACTCCTTCAAGTTGAAGCTGAACAGTAACAAATTCAAACTTCAAGTTGAATATTGAAACATTCAAAATACTTTGTTGTAAAATAAACAGATATACAATATAGTGCTCTACGGTATGTGGTGCCTGTTAAAGGGCAACTTTGTTTGTTCATAGAGTGAGATCACTACACTGCCAACAGGACATTTTTAAGGCTCAACACTCTTGGCCTCAGCTTCCGATCGTCCTGGCCCATCAAAACTTTCTGGGTGAAGTCAAAGGTGTTGGGCAAGTCTTTTGGGTAACTTAGATTCAGGGCATAGATCAGTGCATACAGCAGGATGAATGCCTCAGCCAATCTGGGGAGTTCGAACACTCTGCTCCCCTCCAGTACCACAGCGATCCTCTCTGGGCAGCAGAGCGTGGTATTTTCTGACTTGGCACTGATCAAGAGCAGTCCAACGGCCATGTCATCAATGTCCGGTTCATCGGACTGCGCCACCTGGGGACAAGAACAGGGAAATGTTACCCTAAATGGCCATAGCTATCTCTACAATCTGTTTCCCCTCACTTGACAGGATCAATCTTTGATGACACCGGACCGTCCATTATTTTCCAAACTAAATTCTTCATTTATTATAACCTTTCATTATGCAAATGTAAATACATTTCTTCCTGCACTAGAGCTACTGAAACAATGTAACAAAAATGACTGTATTTTGTGATGATCTGTCACATACATTTGAAACAGTTATTATGCTGACTTACATGCCACGGCTTCAGAAACCTAGAGTCATCCTCATGCAGATATGCAGGCAGAGCCCGGAGGACAGCAGCACGGAGGACATGGACGTCGCATTGTTCCTGGGGTGGAGAACATATATTTGCTTTACTTTGGATGCTAAACAGCATAGCAGCACAACAACTTATATCACAACAAGGGCCCTCTCATGACTGAAGAGATGAGCATTTGACAAAGAGAATCCACTCTTATATAATGATCAAACACCAAGAGGCATAACCGACTCACCTGGAGGTCATAAGAGCTGAATCGCTGATCCAGACCTTCAGCTACTTTCCCTTTGCGTGCAGCTTTCTTTCTGAACAAGCTCTGAAGACGGGGGGCATGCCGATCCAACTCAGCATAGAAGTGCTTCTTCAGGTTGATGTTTGCAATCCTCTGAAACTCGGCACAAATCTGCAAATATATAAAAGGACTATTGAAGTCCCAGTACAATGCATATGCAGACTGAAGACAGCCGAGATGAACAGAAACGTAACATGATCAATCTGAGTAAGCCTGTCAAAGTTATCAATGACAAAGGCAAACAAAATAATGAAATATGTGTAATAAGTGAAAGATGTTCACCTGTGACTCCATTTTCAAGGCAGGCCAGCGTTCCAGGATCTGGCCAACAGGTAGGCCATCATTGATGACCTCATTGCGCCGCAGGGCAAAGGTAGTCTGCATTAACTTTGTAATCAGGGGAAGGTTTTTGTCTCTCATCTTAACTTCATCTACAATTTGGAGTCTCAATCGCTCAAGGCTTGTACCATCTTCACCGAGTGGGAAATTAGGCAAGAAATTCACCTCTGCCCTCTTTGGTCTTTTGATGTTAGTGTGGGGAGCTTGTTTGTCTGGATTGTTTCTACTCCTCTTCCCAGAATTGACCGCTACCTCGTGAAATCCTGCTCGACTTAACTTTGTGCGGAAGTTCCCCATCTTAAACTTCAGACTATTTCTCCAGCCGCACCATCCCGTCTGAGACCCTGGCTCTTTTAGACAAGGATGCTTAGTGACCAGTGCTTCTGATACCATTGAAACCTCCTTATCATTGGGGTATGCCTTGAAGCTATGCATTTTGGTTGCAAGGTTCTCAAGGATGATGTGCTTTTGACCCCGAGAAAGCTTTAGAGTTTTCTCTGTTCTCTCATATTTAAGATTTCCCTCACCGAGTATGTGTTCTACCTGCAAGGCAAAAGTGGGTACTGGAAAAACCGCAGGCCATCCCTCTGCCCTCTCTGGAGTTATGTCATGGGGCAATATTGTTGTGTCCCCTGATGCTTCGGAACTGACGTCACTCTCAGACTTCATAACTAGCAAAACAGCCTTTAATGGAAGCTCCTCGATGTCTACAAGGGAACATAACCTCCCGTCAAAGTCCGGATCTTGGTATGATAAGTTAAAGTCAAAGTCTAGCTTAAACTTTTCTTTTATCATGGTTTTTAGCTCATCCACAGATTCTGGACTTGAAGATAAAGTCATCTTCCTGATAATGTCCATTGAGGTATGGACATGAAGTACGTAGTTTTGAGCTGCCATTTCCTGTTATTAAAAAAAGAGAAGAGGCAATATGAGGAACATTCAGTTTGGCAAAACAAAAGTCAGGCAGTGTCTAGAGTTCAGTTTTGAATGAAAAACTGGATTGGTTTGGATTAAGTATCATTCAACTCTAATGAAAACTGTGCGCAAAAAACAAAACAATCATTAAGTCTTAGTCTTCCTAGGCTTGGCCTGTAATGGTGGGTGGTGGTGACACATACAGTATGTCCCCACTTCTAGAAACATGTATTCCTGCAAGTCTCTGATGGAAATAAATATGTATTGTCAACTTGAAATGTCCATCCATATTGTATGCTGTGATACTTAATGTGTCATTTAGCTCGGACAGCGGATGCACAGAAAAGTTGTGTGAGGATGTCAGCTCAAATGGCCTTAAATGCTTGCGGTACCAGCACTCTGAGCTTCAAGTCTGGAAAGACAGATTGAAGACTCTGTCTGTGATCACTTATTTTAGTCTGCATGTACTGGATGGATTCCTCTGTGAAATATGTCGACAACACCAGCTGCACAATTTCTTTAAGGTCTTTTAATATGGCCCATGCTTCATCTCCTTCAGAGACTTTACTTCCTACCACAAGTGGTAACAACCTCAGCAAAGTGGACTTTTCTAGCCCATTCCCCATGTTGAAAAGTGAACAGGTAAAGATCATCAAGGAAATGTGACTAAAAGGGAACTGACTGCTGATGCCGAGCTGCATTAGGCAAGCTTTGCTACATTCTAAACAGGCTTATATTACTTAACAAAATATAATTGGAAGACTACTACTAAACTCTCAGGATTATGAATGAAATAACTTCTGAAAATGAACTTGATTGATTTTACTTTAAAATGTTTTAAGTGACCCTTTATTAACTGTATGAAAGTCAGGTTAACATACAAAGACCCGGGATAGCTACTGGTGCTTTCAGGGCCGCCGCTCCCTACAGGCCAATCACGCAGGCTGCATGGGGCCCCGCCCAGAGGGCCTCAGCTGCTATGCGCAATTCTCCGTGCAGAGGTGACAAGGGGAGCACGTCTGTAACCCGACAACGTTGCAATGAATCGACATCTGACCAGTCACGGGTTTGATACGGCCACTAGTGCAAGTGAAGAGATGTCGGTGAAAAGACAGTTTCAGTCCGGCGCAAGCAAGAGGGAAAAAAACAAAAACATGAAGAAACTAGAGCATCACTCGAAGGTGGGTTATTGCATGAGTGAAATGTACAACTTGCGAATGTTGTATAAGTCGAATTACCAATATTAAAACATCAGCTGCAATTCACGACATGAAGAAGGCAGTCTCTGCATAGCATATAGGCTAATGAAGATGCAGTTATTTCCAGCATTCTTTATTTAACATTCATTCAAGTATTGTATGTCTTTTATCTGCTAATGTACAGGAGGAAGAGTGATAAACTGTCTGTCTAGTTGGCTTACATAACAGTTAAAGTTTACAGCCTAAAAAACATGGAGCATTGTTTCCCCTTTTATTCATTTTTATGTCAATTTGCACATTTCATGGTGATGCTCAGCCTCTCCCCTTAACTCCTAACAGTCATCATCATGTCAACCACAACACAGAGAAATACTGATAGAAATGTGTGTGTAGTTGTTGAAACATTGCTGACAGAGGGAACTACATTTGAATACAGATTTATGTTTTATCAGTTTTTGAGCATGTCATAAGCATGTTTTGTCTTGGCTGTATTACAACTATATTATAATAAAATAATATAGTATTTATATTATTTAATTGATTATTATTATTATTATTAGTAGTAGTAGTAGAATTAGTTTATTTGCATTCATTATATTTTAATCTTTTTGAGGCTAGTATTTGGCAGGAAATGCAGACGTATTCACCTGTAAAC